TGACATCAAAGTTAAAATCAGCCGGGATCTCGCAGAAGTACTGAGCTTGTCGGACTGCTTGCCGAAATCCCGCATCGTGCTGATCGAGGATCTTATCGGTGGCCTCGGCTTTCAATTTGGCATGTGCCTCGTTCAGCCTAGCAATCTCGGTCGTAGCAGCCGCGGCCTCGACTTTCATCTTCTGCACCGACAACTTCAAGTCATCGGCCTCCCTCCTGTAGCTGTTGGCTGCTTTCTTCAGTTCTTCGGCCGACTCGTTAGCCTTTGCATTGGCAGTCAAGGCCTCTTTCATTGTGGCCTCAGCCTCCTTTAACCGGGCTTGAAGTCGCTCAGCTGAGACGACCGATCTCATCATCATGTGCTTGGCCACCAATGAGGTCCGCACATCGAGCTCGCAGAAGAGCTTATACTTGGCCTCCGTAGACATACCCTCCAAGTATTGAAGCCCACCTCCGGTAGTGAGGTCCAGGCTAACCAGGTTCTCGGACTGGACGGCCGGGGCCAAAAAATTTGACCCAGCAACAACAGCCGGGACAGCAAACGCCCCGCATCCGGACTGTTCCAGCGTGATTTGTTTTTGACGTTTGGAAGGGCCCGTTTGCTCGGATTCCACGGTCTGATCAGTCTGACGTGTCCGAGATGTCCCTGTTCTCTTTCTCTGGTCGGCCACCGGAATTATTACGGACGAGGGCTTATCCCTCGGAATCTTCAATGCCGACCTTGCTGGCGGCACCTGCCCGCTAGCCTTTGCATCTTTCGCTCGCTTGGCAAGCATGGCGGTCACGTCAAGGTCCCCTCCGGCCATCAGTCCGTGTTTTTGTTGCTGTCTCTATGTGTGTATGCTTATCTTTGTCTTTGTGTGATTTATCTGAGTCTGAAGTATTTAGATGTGTTTTTTTGTTTATGTCCTTTATCTATGTGTTTGTATCTCTATCACTCTTTCTATGTGGGTCTGTCTGTGACTTAGTTGGTGTGTGCTTGTGTGATGTCATGCCTTTCTCTATATGTGCATTTGGGTTTATGTTTGTGTGCACTTTTCCTCTATTTGTGTCTGTGTGCGTGCTCTGTGTCTATGTTTACCTTTGTGTTTGGCGTCTTTATATACATCTTTGTGTGTTTCTCTCTGTCTTTGTGTTTGTGTTTTTTTTTCCCTAAGGAGGGTTTTGGGTCGGCAAGGTTTTTAACGAGGCACTCCATTAATGCAACACATTTTTGAAATATTGATCGTCTTTTTTACTATTTGCATATACGAACACGTTCAAATCATCCTCATGCAGGTCCTCCTTCGGAACACACGAACGCGTCGGCACCGAGCTATCCTCGGCAGACCACACGAAACGTACTCGCGCGACAGGTTTCCCTCCCGAGTAACCTCCTCGGCTAAGGATGCACCTGGGCCGAGTACTACGCACGAACGCAGAGGTATCGAGCAATCCTCGGCCGGCCACTCGAAAACGTACTCGCGCCTCGCGAGGACAACACTCAAGCCGACCAATTGGCGAGGTTGGCCGCAACCAAGAAGCCAGGACAACTGAGAACCATCATTCAACAAGAAATCAACCACCCCAGTGTCGAAGCGGACATGGTAGCAAGCGTGGATACCGACCACACCGGACAAATCAACACGCCCGACTGGCGAGACGAAATCAGGGCATTTATCATTAACGGTGTCATACCAGCTGATCCGACCGATGCCAGGCGATTGAGGATGCAAGCCAGTAGATATGTCGTCATCGCCGATCAGTTGTATAAGCGTGGCTACTCCACCCCGCTATTAAAATGCCTAGACCCCGTCGAGGCCAATTACGTGATGAGAGAAGTACACGAGGGCATTTACGGTATGCACTCGGGCGTGAGAACAACAGTTTCCAAACTGTTACGAGCCGGATACTATTGGTCGACCATGAATACGGACTGCGCAATGTTCATAAAGAAGTGTCAACCATGCCAGAAACACGGCGACTTAATCCACCAACCGGCCGAGCAGCTGCACAGCATACCCTCAGCATGGCCATTCACTACTTGGGGGGCCGACATACTCGGGCCCTTTCCAGTCGCTAAGGGACAGTGCAAATTCCTCATCGTCGCCGTAGATCTGTTTTCCAAATGGATCGAAGCCGAGCCTTTGGCATGCATCTCAGCTCATCAAGTCCAAAAATTCTTATGATCGCCGGTGGCTCTCCACACAAGGTCTCCTTGTCGAAATTCTCTGGGCTTCACCTTGCTGTCAAACCTTCGCTTGTAGCGTTGCTTGGTAGCTTCGGCCATAATTAATGCTCGGTCTCGAATTTCCTCAACTACGTCTAGGCTCGTTCGGAGCTCGGCCTCATTATTTGCTTCATTTAAGTGGTCTCGGCCGGACGATAAGTTTCTGTAACTATACTTCGGCACAAAGTCCGTCCAACCGAGATCGCGCGTGAGCAGTAACAAGACCCAGCGTAGGTTTCGTCCACTTGAGGCATCGGTTTAGCCTCAATTAGCCTAGACCTCGGCCTCATCACTGTCCAGTAGAGGTCTCAGCTCGGGTTCACCCCATCAACGGCCTAAGCATAATAACCATTCATCCGAGGTCTCGGCCAACATCTTGGCCAGATTCATCATTACTGCCACTCAAATAAAGATCACGTTCTCGACTAATATAGTCCGATGCATTACGGCACTACACAACTGTGGCGTTCGAGAGAACAATTTTCAACCATCTTCGTCGTTCACATCCTCGACGTTGTGGGGGTTGTATACCGTATGGGCCGACCTGACCGAACAATTGTATGGAACCGACCCGGCCGAGCACTCTAATTTATAACCGAATAGTCCGTGTACCCGATCACACCGACCATTCACGAAATGGAACATCTCGTTGTGCTCGGCCGAACTGACAACATTCACCAGTATGATTACGGAAGGGTTAATTTGCATAATACGCCAGGTTAGTCCCCTAATTTTCCGGGGCCCAATCCCTAATCACGGCCCAACAACAAACACTATAAATAGACCCCCTCTTAAGGTACGTAACCAACTTTCAACTACCGCATTTATTACGCCGAGCACTTACTTGAGCGTTGGAGTGTCTTTGCAGGCACACCCCCCCTTCACATCGGACTACCCGGATAGGAGCGAGAAGACCGAGACCTAAGACCCGACCCGTTACAACAAGGACAATTGAAGTGTGTTTCCTAACACGGGAACATCTGCTTATATGAAACATATCCAAATAAATAATCGTTACTAATTCACTCCCATATGAATTTTCCTCTTTTATAAAATAAAGAATTATAGATGTTAATTAATACCTAAAAAAAATTATTTAAGAAATTAACAAATATTTTCATTAAAATATAATATTAACATATTTCACCATAAGTTTAAATGCATCATCCATGTTATATTTAATAAATATTAATGTCTTAATTATTAATATACTTAATTTTAAATGTATCAGCAATGTAATTTTTTTACTGAATATTACATTGGTGATACACTAAAAATCATAGTGAAATGCATCAATAAGATATTTCATACTTATATATTTAATTTATTAACCATATAATGCCTTTAGAATATTTTTCTTTATTTTATAATAGAGTTAAAAGCATATGAGTGAGTAGGTAAATGCCTTTTTATTTTGACATGTTTTAAGAAAATAGTCGTTTTTTTAATAAACATTTCCACTGGATTTAAATTTGCAGAAAAATTTGTTGAAAAATTAGCCGATAAAATAACTTTCGATATTTCCTACAGTGCGTTTATATTAATATTAAATTTTTTTCCTGTGGAATTAAATTGGCACCAAATTTGACAAGAAGAAAAAACAGGGAAATTTACTACGCAAGTTCAGTCTGTAAAAAATAATCATATAATAAACGTTTTTGAAGAAAAACCGTATCCATGTAATATTAAAACATTGCATCTGCTGCATTTTTCATTAATTAAGGTAAAGCATTAGAGTTTTAAGTTCCAACTTTGAAATTGTTATTGTAATTTCAATTAATTAAAAAAAAATTAAGCTGCATCTATTCGGTATTTAATGCTATAATTGTAAACGAACCCCAGGACCAATAACTGACAATGCACGTACATCCTGATCCTGTAACCCATAATGTAGGAACCCCCTACGCCAGAAAATTATATATTGCGACAACAGAATATACAATTATGCATGGTACCTCCATGTAGTAATTAAGAAGAATATATTTTTCTCTTACTTCTTGACTCTTATTTCTCCCTTGGAGACTCACAGTACGAGGAATGGTCAGATCATTGAAGAACACCTAATGATAATTCTAATTTCTGCATATGTGAAAGTTTAGTACTTATTCATATATATATATCGTGTCTTGACTAGCATAAGAAAGGAAAACTAATTTTGATATTTTACATTAGAAGATACCTTAGTTTTTTTTTTTTTTTTTATCACTTGTTACGTAATATGCTATTTGATTCCGAGTCTGCAACGGCAAATTTTGTATTGGCATATTCCCTTTTAACTTGTAGCATTTTTCATAGTTGTTTCAATAGTTAATTGGAATTTAAAAGTGAGGGCAATTTTTTAAATAAATATTTAATAATAATTATTATCACATATAAAAGAGCAAAATAAATATAAAAAATAATTATTAGTAAATTCAATGTTCAAAATTAAAAAAATGTAAAATATAGTATTTTTAAATATATACCGATAATTTAATTAAAATTATAAGTGCATGTGCACACCCTCACTGTATAGTAGGACCCATTGATGGTCAAGGGCGCAGATCATTCACACTTATTAGAAATTTAGTTCTTCCGTCGTCGACAACAGTTTCGTTATTTCACGCACCGACCACAATTTAGGCATTAAATAATACAATTTTCATGAGTTGCACGAATTTTCACTTTTTAAACAACTTTAGTTCTTTCACGTTTCTAACTTTAGAGTGTCTTATATATTTTTTTAAAATTTCTTTTTATCATGCGCATTAGGCATTACTGCTGATGACATTTTTTATTGTTATATATAGATTACTTTTTCTGCCTCATATATGACTATATATAGTTAGCCCTTATCCCTTGGTTGTATAAATTCTCAAGCATATAGTGGCAGCTGTAAGGTGCATGTGCTTAGAAGAACAATGGTGTCACGTGATGAGACGTTGGAAGGAGTGTGGAGTATTCAGGAGCTCATAAAGGAACCGTTAACTTCAGTTCCTCAACGCTACATTCAGCAACGTCAACACCAACCTACACCTTTCTCAGATGCAACCTCTGGCCATGCACTTCCTACCATCAACATGAAAAATTTGATCCACGGAGAAGATAAAGAACTCGAGCTAGAGAAGTTGAACTCAGCTTGTAAAGATTGGGGTTTCTTCCAGGTTAACAAAGTGCATGCCTTTTAACACTTCATGTTATTCATTTTCTATATATGTATGTATTATGTATATATTTGACCCGCCATGCATAAATATTTCTACTTCACTGGTCTAAAGATTAACTTTCGATAGCATTTTTTGAAGATTTTTTTCTTCTTTTTTTTCTCCATACTGTGATCATATATCTTTGATTTCTTCTTTTATCATTCTGAATTTATATGTAGTTCAATTTATATATTTGCAGTTGGTGGAGCATGGAATAAGCCCACTAGTGCTGGAAACGCTTAAAGAAGAAGTTGAAGGATTCTTCAGGCTGCCCTTGGAAGAAAAGATGAAATACAAAGTGAGGCCAGGTGATGTTGAAGGCTACGGAACTGTGATTAGATCAGAGGATCAAAAACTTGACTGGGGCGATAGGTTATTCATGAAAATCAACCCTCTTGACATGAGAAAACCATATCTTCTCCCACAACTCCCCTCATCACTCAGGTAAATATGAGGGATATCTGATTAACTGTAAAACTATTTTGTCAATGTATCATATTAACTCATCTTATAAAAAACTATCAAATAGTATAAACACACAAAAAGTTAAAAAAACATTTTCATAAACTTGATTTATTCATATTTGATATCAATTAATAGCGGGACAAAACTTACATGCTGAATCATAATTTTATTTTGTTTCGTTTTTTAATTAGGATTGGAATTTCCCTTTATTAACATACATAACAATTGATTCTATTGAATTTAATTTAATATATATTATCGGGATAAAACAATAATTTTAATTGATGAGTTGAGTACTTGTGTGTGCAGGAGTATCTTAGAATTGTACATTGAGGAATTGCAAAGTCTTGGGATGATGCTTGTGGGGTTGGTGGGGAAAGCAATAAAGATGGAGAAGAGAGAGTGGGAGGTGTTTGAGGATGGGATACAGAATGTGAGGATGACATACTACCCTCCATGCCCAGAACCAGAGTTAGTTATGGGTCTCACTGCACATTCTGATGCAGCAGGAATCACCATACTGAATCAAATGAATGGAGTGAATGGACTGCAGGTTAAGAAAGATGGGATTTGGATTCCAGTCAACGTTATCTCAGAAGCCTTTGTTGTTAACATCGGAGATATTCTAGAGGTTTCAATCATCTCTCCCTCCTTATTATAGCTAGCTGTATATACCTATAATTTATTATATTCTTTATACTAATACTTTTTATAATTTTATAATCACATTTATTATTATATCTCTCTTCATAGTACGAAAAATATTAAATAACGTAAAATATAATTTTTTAATATTATTTTTCACCTTTTGTATATTAATCTGTGACATAACTTTTTATCACATCTTATATTTATATATTAAATGGTGGATTTTGGGAGAGATTAATTGGAGCTAAAGTCAAATATATATATATGAAAGCCCTTTATTCTCCAAAATTTGTGGGTCATATTTTTAAGGATTTTATTTTATAATATCTGTAGAAGTTTTTATAGTTTTTAAAAAAATTAGAAATTATGGTAGGTATAATTTTTAATTAAGATATTTTATTATAAAAATTAACAAATTTTATATATGCATATATAGTAATTTATAATTAGAAAATAACATAAAATTTCTTTATTTTGCATGCACATACTTATTTTCTCATCTCTATTTTTATTTTTATTTTTAATTCATTTATTTAGGTTATTAGAGTTGTTAGTTAACATTATGCCGATAACTTAATGTGTGGAAAGTGAGTTAGGTAAACCTAATATTCATATGAAATGCATTTTTATTTGCTCAACTTAATCATTTGTTAATCGAATTAGACTAAATTGATCTATTTATTTTAATTTAAATTTATATGATTTTTTAAGAAAAAAAAGGTTTGATAGCTTTTTGACTTAAAGTTTATAGATTTATTTGACTCAATTTTTTTACCTCTAATTTTAAAACCCAAATTATTAAATCATGATAAAAATTTATTTTCATAGGGTGGATCTTTAGATAAAGTAGACGATTCTATATTTAAATAAGAGATTAAATGTTAATTTTGAATTAAAAAGTATAAATATCAAACTATTTCTACTAGTAAATTTTGGTAAAATGGTTCAATTTTAACATTTGTATATACTAGCAAATTTATTATTTAGTTCATTAACCTTGCTTACAAGTTACACAGCGGATTACTGGATTACTGATAAAATCCGCACTTCCATGTGGAGGATGGGGGGTAGTTAGCAACTTCCATGGATCATAAATTGATTTTGATTATATTTATTTATAATGGATGAAATTGAGATATTTCCTATTTTTATATTATTTAAAGTATTTAAAAATTATTAATATCATTAAATTAATTGATGTTATACAATTAATTCTCAAATTTTGGATTCAAATTTTGAATTTATAAAAATAATTAATTTTTAATATTATTTTTATTATTTAAAAATTTAAAAATAAAACAATTCAAAATTATCTACATAAAATAAGAAATCACTTTTATATATAGGTATAGATTAAAATAAATTAATTTATATTTATATATAATTTTCTTAGATATTAAAGTTATTTTTATTGAACATGCATGTCGTCTTAGATTTTTATGATAAAAGTTATTTTCACCATTTTATATCTTTATATATATATATATATATTAATCTTTTTACTTCATAATTATATTAATTAAAACAAGTAGCAAAATTAAATTTCTCTTATTAAAGCTAACTTTAAAACGAATCATTCTGTTCCCCTATTATAAATATTTAATTTTAAGTTATTATAATTTATTTAAAATTCAAGTATTCAATAAAAAATTGTTTGAATATTTTGATTTAACTTCCATAAAGTGAACAACTCACTTTAAATGATAAAATAAATAATTTCAGTAATTAATAAGAAAATCCAAGTCAATATCATGTGACATGCAAATCATAGATGGGTTAAGTTGTTGATTATTCGTCAATGACGAATTATTTACTTTACCTTTATTCACTTTTAGAGAAACAAAATCTGGATATTTAAATAATAAGAAATTGTGAAGTTAAGTAAATTCAACAATAATGTGAAAATCAACGACAATAATAAATTGCTTTACATTGGTATAAGTGAAACCTACTGCAAACCATTTTTTTTATCGACCAATACTCATACACCATTTAATAATATTCTTATTGCGTGATTTTATATGGATAATAAACTTAACATTATTCTACTAAAACTTCTTATTATATAAATCATAATAATAAATTTTTAATTAGTATTAAAGTATTTAGTACCTTATTTTAAAATAATGCAATATATATTTTTGAAGTATATAAGTATAAGAGTTATTTACTTATACATTTTTTTGTTATTGATTAATTTTTATAAAATTTGACTCAAACAATCAAATGGTATATAATTATGATTTAATAATTAGACTAAAAAACTCACATTCTAAATGAATTTATTAAGAATTTTAAGTATATATATGTTTAATTTAGTTTTATACCGTATAATATAGTAAAATAATAATCTTAAAGATCTCAATCCTAAATTTTTAGGATCTCCATGTACTTAAGGTAAAAAAAAGTTTGTCTTTAATTAGTAACAATATGTTTGGTTTTTATTTGTTATATCAAAATAAATTCGAAAATAAGTTGTAATAACAGAGAAACTTTTTTTCTAAATAATAATATGAGTTTTTCAAATCCAAAACTAAACATGCAAAGTTAACACACCATAATTCAGAAAAGGAATTTACACCTATGTCAATGTCTAAGAAGATACATATATCATTGAATGAAGTAAAAAAAAAAGGTACTATTATTAGATAGATTAAAGTCTAAAAAAAATAATATTGCAAATTAAAGATGATGTGTTGTTAATTTATGTTTTTGCTAATTAATAATGAGAGCTATACACCATATGATTTTGGATTTAATCCATTGATATATAAAAAAGATAAGGTTTAAATAAGTTTTGATCTCTACAATATATATATGTTTATTTTCGTTTTGGTCTTCTTATTGTTTTATATGTGACCCTTATAAACTTTTTATTTTTCAGTTTCTAACGTTAAGTGATGACATTTTAACAAATATATGCTTAATGTTGGCTAAATTAAATAACAGATTAAAATGAAAAAAAAAATCAAAATGTATGAGCAATTTATATTAAACATTTATAAATTTATAGAGAAAAAATATAAAAGTGAAAAATAAAATAATAAAATAATAATAGGGACACAAAAAATTATATATACAAAAAATTAAGAGGACCATTTATATATATAATTTTTTGTAGAGTCAAAAAACTTACTTCAACTAAAAAGATAATTATTAAATGACAGTTTTTACAACTAAAGAAGATCAATTGACAAGAGACTGATATAAGGCTAGAATTCATGTTTTGAAAATACAATTGTCTTAGAATTCAAAAAAATGATTGTTTTGATTTTTATTTTTTTTTGAGGTTGTGCATGTGATTTGATTTGGAATAGATTAAAGAATGTTGGAATTTGCAGATTATGAGCAATGGGGCATACAAAAGTGTTGAGCACAGGGCAATAGTGAATTCAGAAAAGGAAAGAATTTCCATTGCAATGTTCTTTCTGCCAAGGTTTCAATCAGAGATTGGACCTGCAATTAGCCTCACAAACCTAGAAAATCCCCCGCTGTTCAAAAGGATTGGAGTCGAGAAATATGTCAAAGATTACTTCGCCCATAAGTTAGATGGAAAGTCCTACTTGGAACATATGAAAATCACACATGAAAAAGTTACCAAGGCTTTTATTTAATTAGCTCATGTAATATACTTAATTATATGGTTAGCTTGATATTATTAATATATATGTATGTATTTAGACAGTATCAATATGCCACGGTGAATGGGGCAAGTGCGTGTATGATAATAAAGTTTGCCCTATTTTTGATTGTGCTCATTTCATCCTCCCTTTTATTCTAATCATCCATATCTTTGATTTTTCTGAGACATTAAGGTTCATCACATGTGAGAACTAATTAACAACATATAGTTAAGTCAAATTACAACCCATCTGCATGCCATTCTCCGTGAAGTTGTAGGATCCATTGTCACTGCATGACAATAACGTAATTATGTAGTAACTTCATTTTAAATATACATTTTTTTTTTTATTTTGTTCATAAAAATAACCACTTTTTATATATTTTTTTTTCTCATCATAACAATAGGCATCAATAAGTTAAATAAAAGGTGTTAAACAAAATTGAATAATTGTGATCGCTCATAATAAATAAATGTAAAGTGTAATATATAACATAATCTGTACAAACTATTCCAATTTCTACCCTTGGAATATCTGTTGTTATATTTTCATTTGAACATATGTTTTATCCTAATTTTATTTTTGATTTAAATATGTTTGTACTATTATAAAATGAGTAGATTATGATTTTGGTTCTTGTATTTTTTTTTTGTTTTTCATCTTTAAAAAAATTGGAAACAGTTTTTGATACTTCTAAAATATTTTTAGCCCTCATAAATGAATAAATTTTAGTTTTGATCCTTGTAAAATAATTTTTTTATTCTCATCCCTTTAAATTTTAAAAGCATCATTTTTTATCCATAACAATAAGTTTAAGATAAATAAATAAAATTTAATTTTAAAACTTATAAAAAAGTTTGGAAGTGTCTCACACTAATATTTAGAGTTGTCAAAACAAGTAGTTGGGTTTAACGTATCACAGATTAAGTAATAAGTGAGTCAATTCAATTTGACTCACCTTTTGGTGAGCTTTAAAAAAAGCTAATACAATTTGACCCACTACAGGTTAGTGGGTTAAACGAATTGACTTACATAAATAAATAAAAAAAATATTAAACTTTATAAATAATATATATTATAATCTTATATTTTAAAATTACAAATATGTAACAATATGACACACAAAAAATGTAAAACAAAATAGTCATCAATCACAACCAACTTATAATATCAAATAATATCAAAGTTGTTATATAAAATATTGACAAATAATATCTAATCGATACTAATTATCATAATTCACAACTAATATTTACAAAATTAGTCAATGATATAAATGTATAATCATATCAATTAACATTTGAGAACCTAAAATATAAAAAATATATATTAAATGAGTCAACTCGACACATTACAACCCACTACAGGTTGGCTTGTGACGAGTCGTATTATAAGTAAGTTGGATCAAATTTTTCTTATAATTAAAATGTGTTAATTTTTTTAGTTCAATTCAGTTCAAATTTGTGATGAACTGAGTTAGTTTAACAGATTTTGACCCACTTTAACGATTCTATTAACATCATTAACAATCATAAGTAACATAAATTTTTAATAAAGAAAAATAGTTAAAAAATAATTACATAGTAATAAAAATTAAAAACATTTATAAGTTTTATTAGTGGATAAAAAATAATAAAAAATTTAATAGAGATAAAAATTAAAACTTGCACATTTTCCAAGAATTAAAATATATTTAAGCTTCTGTCTTTTACTCCTTTATAATACACTTTAAAAAAAAAAAATCAAATTTTAAGATTACAATAAAACAAATGTTATATACACATCTTCTTACTAATAGATACGTTCTTCTTTTTTTTTTTTTTTTTTCCAAAAATTTATTAAATTCTCTTTAATTTAATTTATTTTTAAAATAAATTTTATTTCTGAAAGTTATATTTTCCATTCATCCCTTCATACTTTACTCATTTTCACATATTCTCTACTATATCTCTCTCACCTGCCGCTCTTTTTTTTATTTTTTATTTTTTGATTTTTTCCCACACTCGTTTTAAGCTATATTATTTTAAAATCCTATTTCTTTTTGTGCTCTTATTTTCAAGATTTTTAAAATTCTAATTTTTTACTCTATCTTTACTATACAAGGTTGTAAATTTTATAAATGTGTAATTTTTAAATATATGACCTATTAATTTTACAATGAATTATTAATTAGAAAAATACATTTTTTTAATCATTTTAAAATCATGTTTTTCTAATTCTTAAAATATACTCTAAACAAATATTTTTTAGAAAGATTAAAATATTTCTCTTATGAAATGTTATTTTTTAAACATATTTTTGTTAAGAAGCTTAAAAAAGATACATTCAAAAAAAAACTTTTTTAAAGAGTAATCAAAAAAGTTCTTTTTTGAAAAGTACTTTCTAAATGCAATAAAATATACTTAAAAAAATACTTCACAGATTTAGAACATACTTTTCAGAAAAACCTATTTTTGCCTTACCAAAAATATTTTCAGAAAATATATTTTTTTTAAAAAAAATATTTTTCTAAAAATTAATGAGTATTTAAAAAATAAGTGTATTTAACAAAATCTTTACTGTAATCCGAAAACGAAACATATTTTTTTAAAAAAATAATAGTAGTGTTGATGATGTTTTTTTTATTTATTTTAAAAAGTAGTGTTCATATGCTTTCTCAACAGAAATGATTTGACATATTATTGTCAATATCGTTCTGTAAGTTTTCTAGAAATAAGAAATAAGAGACTTCGTACTTTTAAATATTTTTAAAAATATAATAATATGAACAGTTATTTAAAATTAGTTAATGATAATTATTAAAAATATTTATTTATTTTTAAAATTTAAAGATATAATCATCTGGAAAACGAAAAATGGTTATGAAAATAACTATTCACCTTATTTATTAGTATTGATATCGCAACATTTCATTTTACAGTTGTATAAGAGTTTTCTAGAAATAGCGCAACATTTCATTTTACCATTCGTATACCTACTTTGCCCAAATTAGTGCATGCATGCATATAAATATGACGCGTCCTCTCACCAGATTCTAGCCTCCATTTGTTTTTACGTGAAGGTTGTGCCCCTCCTAGGCATGGAGCAAGAAGAGGAACAATGTAAAGAACAAAAGGCCAATGTGAATGATGAAAAAGTCCCATTTTACAAGCTTTTTGCCTTTGCAGATGGCCTTGATGTGACTTTGATGATTGTTGGCTGCATTTCCGCCATGGCTAATGGGTTGGCACAACCTCTCATGACCCTCATTTTTGGGAAGGTCATCAACGCTTTTGGAAGCACCGATCCATCCCTCATAGTCAATGAAGTTTCCAAGGTATATATATAGTTAACACTTAACATGCATTCATTTATATGCTGGAGGTTTCTTGAATGAAAGGTCCTTCTTGTTTCTTCTGCAGCCTTGCATTACATTGCATGCCATGTCCATTTGGTAATTAATATATCCCATTAACATAGATTTGCATTCTTATTTATATGTTTGGATGATGCTGACACCTCAAATTTCAGGTTGTAATATTTTTTGTTTACTTGGCTGTTGGGGCTGGAGTTGCCTCGTTTCTACGTAAGATGTCACTTTTTTTTTCTTTTCCTTACTCTCATTTCTGCTTATTTATTTCTTATAGACTACTACTATATTGTATGTGATACGAGGGTTTTTCTATTGAATGCTGCAGAGGTATCATGTTGGATGGTGACAGGAGAAAGACAAGCCTCAAGAATCCGTGCTTTGTACTTAAAGACTATATTGAAGCAGGACATTAGCTTCTTTGACACTGAAACAACAACTGGTGAGGTAATTGGGAGGATATCTGGTGACACCATTCTCATTCAAGATGCCATGGGAGAAAAGGTATGCTTTTCTTGTCTATGAAAACACTCGAGTAATTAATGTATATCGAATTATACTATATATTCACACTTTCTCTAACACTCTTTTTTATTACGTGAAAGTTATTGGATATTATAAATTTTGTGAGCCTCACATATCATTTAACAAATCTCTCCTTATTTAATATCATGACTCACCAAGTTTTTGTGATTTTCAACACATAAGAGAGAGTTTTATCAAGAGAGTGACTAGCATTTCTCTCCTATATTATACAACAAAAAGCAAAAGAAATGACATGAGCTTAATAATGGTACTATGGTAGGTTGGGAAGTTTATACAACTTGTTACAACCTTTTTTGGTGGCTTTGTGATTGCCTTTACAAAAGGCTGGCAACTCTGTCTAGTTTTGATTGCATGCATTCCTTGTATGGTTATTGCTGGTGGAATTATGTCCATCATGGTGGCGAAAGTTTCAATTCGTGGGCAAGTTGCTTATACAGAAGCCGGAAACGTTGTACAACAAACAGTTGGGGCAATTAAAACAGTAAGAAACATAAATCAATAATAGATAATTTACCATGCATTGCCTTTTGTATTTAACTTTAAACATATTCCTTGACTTCTTGATGTTTAACCAGGTTGCCTCTTTTACCGGCGAGAAAAAAGCAATAGAAAATTATAATGACAAGTTAAGAACATCTTACTTTGCAACTGTTCAGCAAGGGTTTGCCTCAGGGTTTGGAATGGGAGTACTGTTGTTGATTGTATTTTGCACCTATGCACTTGCCATGTGGTATGGTTCCAAAATGATCCTTGAGCGAGGCTATAATGGTGGAAGCGTTTTCAATATAATCATATCCATCAATACTGGTTCAATGTAAGTGAGACATGAATATTCTTTTACTCTATAAAGCTTCTTTTAGTTTGATGTTCATCATGATCTGATTGTGAGTCATATCACAATCTTATTTGCTTAACCTACATCCCCTATTATTATTTTGTTAAACTAGGTCACTTGGTCAGGCGGCCCCATGCATAAGTGCATTTGCATCAGGCCAAGCAGCAGCATATAAGATGTTTGAGACAATTAAGAGAAAACCGAAAATTGATGCTTCTGACACCAATGGTGTTGTTTTGGAAGACATGAAGGGAGATATTGAACTCAAGGATGTTCACTTTAGATACCCTGCAAGGCCAGATATTCAAATATTTTCCGGATTCTCATTCAATATTCCCAATGGTAAAACTGCTGCTTTAGTGGGTCAAAGTGGAAGTGGCAAGTCAACTATAATTAGTTTGTTAGAAAGATTTTATGATCCTGATGCTGGAGAGGTACTTATAGATGGCATTAATTTGAAGAGTTTTCAAGTTAGATGGATTAGAGGACAAATTGGGCTTGTTGGTCAAGAACCTGTCCTGTTCACTGGTAGTATCAAAGAGAACATAGCATACGGTAAAGAAGATGCAACAGATGAGGAGATAACAACAGCAATAACACTTGCCAATGCCAAAAAGTTCATTGATAAGCTGCCTGAGGTATAACGAATTCTTTAAAGATATAAACACAAATACATAGTCTTACATAAGTGAATCCAGTCTTATGATTCTTTCTTCTTAAGATTATTTAAAGCTAACAAAATTGTATTATTTTGTTTATAGGGCATTGACACAGTGATGGGAGGGCAAGGAACTGCACTTTCTGGTGGACAAAAGCAAAGAATTGCAATTGCAAGGGCAATTTTGAAGAACCCAAAAATCCTTCTTCTTGATGAAGCTACTAGTGCTTTGGATGCCGAGTCTGAACACATTGTTCAAGAAGCATTACAGAAAGTTATGTCACACAGGACAACTGTAGTTGTTGCACATCGTTTGACGACTATTAGATATGCTGACATCATAGCAGTGGTTCATCAGGGCAAGATTGTAGAAAAGGGTAAAATAAAATTGAACCAAATGTTTTAGTTCTTTTATCAACAATAGGTTTGGTATCATGCTTAGTCACTACAACAATACTGTTATCTATGAAAAACTGTCATTCTTTCATAACATAGTACTCGCTCTAGCATTTTTCCTTTATGTGTAGGAACTCATGACGAGTTAATCAAGGATGATGATGGTGCTTATTCACAGCTTATTCGTTTGCAAGAAGGAAATAGAGAATCAGATAAGTCAAATAACAACAATGTCAACTTAGATAGTCATATGGCTAGATCTTCCACTCAGGGGACATCCTTTGCGAGATCATCAAGTCAAGGCTCATCAGGCAGTCACTCTTTCTCACTTACCTCTCCTCTTCCTTATCAACTTTCTATACGTGAGTCTGAAGAAGGAGCAAATAGGGATGTTGAAAGGAGTGAAGTTGAAAATGTGAAGCACCAAAATGTTTCTATTCAACGTTTGGCCAAGTTGAACAAGCCAGAGATTCCTATCTTACTACTAGGATCTATTGCTGCAGCAGTGAATGGTGTCACTCTCCCTGTATTTGGCCTCTTGCTTTCATCAGCTATTAACACATTCTATGAACCTCCATATCAACTTAAGAAGGATTCCGAGTTTTGGTCAATGCTATTTGTTGTTCTGGGGCTTGTCGCTGTGGTAGCTATACCATTACAAAACTACTCATTTGGGGTAGCTGGAGGAAAACTTGTAGAAAGAATTCGTTCATTGACATTTAAAAAGGTTGTGCACCAAGAAATCAGTTGGTTTGATCGCCCTTCCAATTCAAGGTATGTTGAACAGATATTTACTTCCAGTTCCAATGATGAAATGGAAAATAAAGATGCAAGCATTGAATATGACTTCAGTACTACTCTTGTTAACTCAAAGAAATGAATTTCCTTGCAGTGGTGCTGTTAGTGCAAGGTTAGCTGCTGATGCTTCAACTATAAGGAGTCTTGTGGGTGACAGCTTGGCCCTTATTATGCAAAACATTGCAACAGTCGCATCTGGTCTAATCATAGCATTCACTGCTAACTGGATTCTGGCTTTTGTGGTTTTGGCTGTGTCACCCTTGTTGCTCATGCAAGGATACTTTCAAACCAAGTTTTTAAAAGGATTCAGTGCAGATGCAAAGGTTAATTAATTAGTCTAAATTCATTTTTGTTGTTTCCATCAATAGAAAGTGAGTGTATATCATATCAACAAGATCTAATCCTGTCTTTTACAGGTGAAGTATGAAGAGGCAAGTCAGGTGGTAAATGATGCTGTTGGTAGCATTAGAACTGTTGCATCATTTTGTGCTGAACCAAAGGTGATGGATAAGTACATCAAAAAATGTTCAGAGCCAGTAAAACAAGGTGTTCGGTTGGGGATTGTTAGTGGTGGAGGTCTAGGTTTCTCTTTTTTGGCTCTCTATTGCACAAATGCTTTTGTTTTCTACATAGGAGCTATTCTTGTGCAACACGGGAAAGCAACTTTTGGAGAGGTTTTCAAGGTACATACATCATTGGGACTATGATGGTCCAACTTAACTATTTGATGTTTCTTGAAATCGATCTGGTTCTTACTTTAAGTTTGGTTTTGTGCAGGTTTTCTTTGCCTTAACAGTTACAGCAGTCGGTGTTTCCCAAACTAGTGCCTTGGCACCAGATACTAACAAGGCCAAAGATTCTGCAGCTTCAATATTTGAAATTCTTGACAGCAAACCCACGATTGACTCGAGCAGTGATGAGGGAACAACACTAGACACCGTAAAAGGAGACATTGAATTTCAACAAGTCAGCTTTTGTTACCCAACAAGGCCCGATATTCAAATTTTCAAAGATTTTTGTCTAAGCATGCCGGCTGGAAAGGTAATTCATCATTGGTTAGCTAATAATGTATTAGTTATTAATTAGTGCGCTTTGTTTTTGGGTTGTACAAATTAATCTACTAATTTGATTTGAGACTATATAATACATGACAACATATAGGCTTAGCGGCAACTTTTCACACTTATATTTCACCATTTTACAAATTTTATCACTCAACTTTTATTATTGTACATTTACTATTGTATTGGTTGACCATATGATATTGATTTAAGATTTATATATTGATATTGTCAATTGACATATTAATATGACACATTGACAGTTAACATAATATATTATCACATGTCATCATTCGTGTATCATATAATTATTTTGCGTCAATGTGCAATTAATATATCCTATTAGTAGTTAACTAAAGATGTTAAATAGTTAATTACAAATTGATTATATGTGCAAAATTTTGAAAATTAGGAGATAAAATGTGTAATTTTGAAAGTGTGATAGAAAAATTTGCAAAATCTTAAAACATGAGAAACAAAGGTTGCAATTTAGTCTAACATATTGTTTATTTATTGATATATATGTGTGTACTGTAGACCATTGCCTTGGTTGGAGAAAGTGGCAGTGGAAAATCAACAGTAATAAGCCTCTTGGAGAGATTTTACAACCCTGATTCTGGACACGTGCTACTTGATGGAGTGAATATCAAAAAGTTAAAACTAAGCTGGCTGAGGCAGCAAATGGGATTGGTTGGACAAGAGCCAATTCTTTTCAATGAAAGCATTCGTTCCAACATAGCTTATGGGAAAGAGGGAGGGGCAACGGAGGAAGAGATAATTGCAGCAGCACAAGCAGCAAATGCACACAAGTTCATAAGTTCTCTTCCACATGGTTATGACACTTCCGTTGGGGAAAGAGGCACACAGTTATCAGGTGGACAAAAGCAACGCATCGCCATTGCAAGAGCCATTCTCAAAGACCCTAGAATACTTTTGCTGGATGAGGCAACTAGTGCACTTGATGCAGAATCAGAGCGTGTTGTGCAAGAGGCTCTAGACAGAGTCAGTGTCAATAGGACCACTGTTGTCATAGCTCACCGTCTTACAACAATTAAAGGTGCTCATATTATAGCAGTTATGAAAAATGGGGCCGTTGGTGAAAAAGGAGAACATGATGAGTTGATGAAGATTGATGGTGGACTCTATGCTTCATTGGTAGCTCTCCATCTTAGAGCATCATAGACAGAGATCCATGCCTCCTTACGTAGAATGGGTTTGTTACTAATCAGAGAAATGTCACTACACTCAAACCACTCTCCTCTTAATACTCTCCCTATTATTACTATTTGTCGAAAATGTTAATGAATCTTATTACTTGAAGAGACTCAGATCTGAGAAACACAAAATTTGTAATAATAAAAAGTGTTAAAAGATGAGTGTAGGTGTTAGTGAGATTTTTGTTAGCACTCTTCTCCTAATTAAATTAATTCAATTTCTTTTAAATGGTTAGACACCATTATACCTTACTTGTTATCCGTGGAATAATGATATAAACTTCACTCACTTGGACAGTTGAATAGAATTGATCAGAGAAGGAGAAAAAAACCAAACTAAAATTCATTATTTGATATCCTACTCAAAAATTCATTTTAAACCATTCTACCTACAAAGTCCTTTATAGGCAAAATTACATAATATAATATTATTATAAAAGACTATCTTAATGCTTAAGAAACAACTATCTTAATACTTAAGAAATAACCTTTCTTAATACTTAAGAAACTTTGGAAGCCTTAATACTTAAAAAATAATCTATCTTAATACTTAAAAAACTTTGGACTAGCCTTCCACAAAGTTTATTGGCTTGATGATGTTTCGATAAATGCGACAGTAAAAAAATAGCTAACAATTTTAACTTGATTTAATTTTTTTTTTTTGATATTGCCTTCCTTAAATCAAGTTTCTATCATTTTGAGTATTATATTCAATTTATAAAATAACTTGGTTTTCAATGACTTTATAAAAATATCTGCTACTTACTTTTTAGTTGGACAATAATTAATCTTGACTTCTTTTTTAGTTATCAATTCCTGTATCTTGTGAAATCGAATATCAAAATGTTTAGACCATCCATGAAAAATTAAATTTTTGTTTAACGTAATTGCAAACATGTTATCACAAAATATTTCAGTAGGAGATTAAGAGTATTCTACTTTTAGTATAACATTTCTAAAATTCTTAACAACCATATTGCTTGTGTAGCACTGTTGGGATACAAACAAGTCCCACATCGATAAAATATGATAAAAAATAACAACTTATATAATACAAACATACTTTAATGATTGAGAGGCCTTTTGGGTGATGACCAAAAGCAAAACCGTGAGGGCTAAGGCCCAAAGCGAACAATATCTCATCATTGTGGAGTATGTTTGTGTAATAACCTTATAAAAATAACTCATAAAATATTCTCTCAGACAAATACCATAAAAATAACCACATCTCTGGTATCAGAGCCGCAGGTTGGATTCGGTGACAACCAATAACCCCTCATAACTCATAAAATATAATGTTGGGATACAAACAAGTCCCACATCGATAAAATATGATAAAAAATAACAACTTATAACTCATAAAATATAATTTTTGTATACAAACAATTCCCACATCGATAAAATATTATAAAAAATAACAACTTATATAATACAAACATACTTCAATGATTGAGAAGTCTTTGGGGTGATGACCAAAAGCAAAACCGTGAGGGCTAAGGCCCAAAGCGGACAATATCTCATCATTGTGGAGTATGTTTGTGTAATAACCTTATAAAATAACTCATAAAATATCCTCTCAGACAAATACCACAATATAACCCCATCAAGCACTATTGGCTGCTGTAATGTATTCGACTTTGGTGGTAAAAAGTGCAATAATCGACTGTTTCTTTGAAGACCGTGATACTGCACCAGTACCTAAATGATATACATATCTTGACGTGCTTTTTCTTGTTTTCACATTTTTTGCCCAATCATTATTTATGTATTCAATAAGTTTCACATCATTATTACTAGTATAAAAAATTTCATCAGTTAGAGTACCTTTAATGTAACGAAGAATTCTCTTTGCTCTTTGCAAATGACAAGCATGTGTCTCCTCCCTAAATCTACTAAACAACTTGATTCCAAATACTATATCTAGTCTAATTATAGTCAAATATCTCAAACTTTCAATCAAACTTTTGTATAGTTGCATTCACCTTTCTACCTTCACTTTCTTTTGTTAGCTTTAACTTTTTTCTTCAACTAGTTTTGAATTCTCTATCTTGAATTTCTTCAAAATATCACCTACATATTTCTTTTGAGAAATAAAAATCCCATCTTTTTGTTGAATGACCTCAATGCCAAGAAAATAGGACATCAGGCCTAAATTTGTCATCTCAAAACATCCGATCACATCCTTCCTACATTCTGCAATTATCTTTGGATTGTTGCAAATAAAGATTAGATCATCAACATATAGGTACACAATAAGAATATCTCTAGTACTAACAAATTTAACATATAGCGTGTGCTCAAAAGGACATCTCTCAAAATTATGTTGGGTAAAGTAAGAATCTATTTTCATGTACCACGCTCTTGGTGTCTACTTCAATACATACAAAACTTTCTTTAATTACTTTATCTTCTTCTCCTTTGGCTACATATCTTGCAGGATGCTCAACATATACTTCTTATAAAATACCATTAAGAAATGCAGATTTAACATTCATTTGATATATCTTCTAATTATTTTGAGTCGAAAGAGAAATAATCATATGAATTATATCCAACCTTGAAACAGGTGCAAATACTTCAAAGTAATCAATACCTGGTTTTTGCTTGTACCCTTTAGCAACAAATCACACTTTAAAGCGATCAACTTCTCCATTGGGATTGTACTTTGTAACAGCCCAAGCAACCCGCATGAGGATATTGTCCTAGCCTAGACCTCGGCCTAAGCACTGTCCAGTAAAGGTCTCGGCTTGAGTTCTGTAACTATACTTCGGCACAAAGTCCGTCCAACCGAGATCGCGCGTGAGCAGTAACAAGACCCAGCGTAGGTTTCGTCCACTTGAGGCATCGGTTTAGCCTCAACTAGCCTAGACCTCGGCCTCATCACTGTCCAGTAGAGGTCTCAGCTCGGGTTCACCCCATCAACGGCCTAAGCATAATAACCATTCATCCGAGGTCTCGGCCAACATCTTGGCCAGATTCATCATTACTGCCACTCATTTCTCAGATGCAACCTCTGGCCATGCACTTCCTACCATCAACATGAAAAATTTGATCCACGGAGAAGATAAAGAACTCGAGCTAGAGAAGTTGAACTCAGCTTGTAAAGATTGGGGTTTCTTCCAGGTTAACAAAGTGCATGCCTTTTAACACTTCATGTTATTCATTTTCTATATATGTATGTATTAGGTATATATTTGACCCGCCATGCATAAATATTTCTACTTCACTGGTCTAAAGATTAACTTTCGATAGCATTTTTTGAAGATTTTTTTCTTCTTTTTTTTCTCCATACTGTGATCATATATCTTTGATTTCTTCTTTTATCATTCTGAATTTATATGTAGTTCAATTTATATATTTGCAGTTGGTGGAGCATGGAATAAGCCCACTAGTGCTGGAAACGCTTAAAGAAGAAGTTGAAGGATTCTTCAGGCTGCCCTTGGAAGAAAAGATGAAATACAAAGTGAGGCCAGGTGATGTTGAAGGCTACGGAACTGTGATTAGATCAGAGGATCAAAAACTTGACTGGGGCGATAGGTTATTCATGAAAATCAACCCTCTTGACATGAGAAAACCATATCTTCTCCCACAACTCCCCTCATCACTCAGGTAAATATGAGGGATATCTGATTAACTGTAAAACTATTTTGTCAATGTATCATATTAACTCATCTTATAAAAAACTATCAAATAGTATAAACACACAAAAAGTTAAAAAAACATTTTCATAAACTTGATTTATTCATATTTGATATCAATTAATAGCGGGACAAAACTTACATGCTGAATCATAATTTTATTTTGTTTCGTTTTTTAATTAGGATTGGAATTTCCCTTTATTAACATACATAACAATTGATTCTATTGAATTTAATTTAATATATATTATCGGGATAAAACAATAATTTTAATTGATGAGTTGAGTACTTGTGTGTGCAGGAGTATCTTAGAATTGTACATTGAGGAATTGCAAAGTCTTGGGATGATGCTTGTGGGGTTGGTGGGGAAAGCAATAAAGATGGAGAAGAGAGAGTGGGAGGTGTTTGAGGATGGGATACAGAATGTGAGGATGACATACTACCCTCCATGCCCAGAACCAGAGTTAGTTATGGGTCTCACTGCACATTCTGATGCAGCAGGAATCACCATACTGAATCAAATGAATGGAGTGAATGGACTGCAGGTTAAGAAAGATGGGATTTGGATTCCAGTCAACGTTATCTCAGAAGCCTTTGTTGTTAACATCGGAGATATTCTAGAGGTTTCAATCATCTCTCCCTCCTTATTATAGCTAGCTGTATATACCTATAATTTATTATATTCTTTATACTAATACTTTTTATAATTTTATAATCACATTTATTATTATATCTCTCTTCATAGTACGAAAAATATTAAATAACGTAAAATATAATTTTTTAATATTATTTTTCACCTTTTGTATATTAATCTGTGACATAACTTTTTATCACATCTTATATTTATATATTAAATGGTGGATTTTGGGAGAGATTAATTGGAGCTAAAGTCAAATATATATATATGAAAGCCCTTTATTCTCCAAAATTTGTGGGTCATATTTTTAAGGATTTTATTTTATAATATCTGTAGAAGTTTTTATAGTTTTTAAAAAAATTAGAAATTATGGTAGGTATAATTTTTAATTAAGATATTTTATTATAAAAATTAACAAATTTTATATATGCATATATAGTAATTTATAATTAGAAAATAACATAAAATTTCTTTATTTTGCATGCACATACTTATTTTCTCATCTCTATTTTTATTTTTATTTTTAATTCATTTATTTAGGTTATTAGAGTTGTTAGTTAACATTATGCCGATAACTTAATGTGTGGAAAGTGAGTTAGGTAAACCTAATATTCATATGAAATGCATTTTTATTTGCTCAACTTAATCATTTGTTAATCGAATTAGACTAAATTGATCTATTTATTTTAATTTAAATTTATATGATTTTTTAAGAAAAAAAAGGTTTGATAGCTTTTTGACTTAAAGTTTATAGATTTATTTGACTCAATTTTTTTACCTCTAATTTTAAAACCCAAATTATTAAATCATGATAAAAATTTATTTTCATAGGGCTGAAACTATACTTCGGCACAAAGTCCGTCCAACCGAGATCGCGCGTGAGCAGTAACAAGACCCAGCGTAGGTTTCGTCCACTTGAGGCATCGGTTTAGCCTCAATTAGCCTAGACCTCGGCCTCATCACTGTCCAGTAGAGGTCTCAGCTCGGGTTCACCCCATCAACGGCCTAAGCATAATAACCATTCATCCGAGGTCTCGGCCAACATCTTGGCCAGATTCATCATTACTGGCACGGCTTTGTTCTCGGGAATGGCCAACACCACCCCAAAACGCGTCCTCAAGAGTAAGGTATCCACACCCATATATATGGCATGCTTCGTTCACCTTACTAGCCGATGTGGGACTTCACAATGGTGTTGGCCATTCCCGAGAACAAAGCCGTGCGGCCGTGGGCCAAAGCGGACAATATCCTCATGCGGGTTGCTTGGGCTGTTACATACTTGGTCTTGTATACCCACTTTACTCCATTGGACCTTTTATCTACTAGCAAATTTGTTAACTCCCACATTTCATTCTTCTTAATGACATGAATTTCATTATCCATTGCTTTTCTCCATCTCTCATCACTTGAAGCTTCTTCAAAAGTCATAGGCTCATAGTTTGCAAATAAAGCAAAATTGATAATCTCTTCATCAGATGAGTCATTATCATTACCCACAACATAATCTTTCAATCTAGTTGGTAGTTGACAACACCTCCTTGGTCTGTTAGAAGATTTTGGTTCATCAGTAACTGGATCTAGTTGTCCCTCAAACTCTTCGTAGTTGTTAGAGATCACCATTTTCTCCTTTTGGGATTTAGGAGACCAATGCCATAGGTCTTTCTCATCAAACGTCACATTTTTATTAATAATCACTTTCTTTGTCTCTAGATTGTAACGTTTATATATCTTTGAATTTAAGTTATAACCAATGAAAACATACCTTTCTCCTTTGTCATCCGATTTCTTCCTAAGTTGATCTGGGACATGTGCATATGCTATGCATCCAAAAATTTTGAGATGTTTGATTAATGGTCTTCTTCCACTCCAAGCTTCTTCTAGTGTCTTGTCATGAATACTCTTTGTTGGACACCTATTCAAGATATAGATAGTAATAATAGATGCTTCTGTTGAAAACTCTCTAGGCATCTGTTTGGCCTTTAACATAGACTCACCATATCCATGATTTTTTTGTTCTTTCTTTTAGCAACTCCATTTTGTTGAAGCATGTATCTAGTTGTTAGTTGGTGTTGAATTCCATGCTATTCAAAGAAATTTGTACAAGCAAGGTATTCTTGGCCTTTATCTGTTCTTAATACTTTGATCCTACTACCACTTTGTTTCTCTATAAATGCCTTAAACATCTTAAAGGCATCACATGCTTCTAATTTCTGCTTTAAGAAATATACCCATGTTTTTATGCTAAAGTCATCAATGAAAGTTATAAAATACTTGCTACCACTATGAGTTGGGGTCTCACTAGTGCATATATATGAATGAACTATCTCTAATAGCTTCTTTGCCCTCCAAGATACTTTAGTTGGAAATGATTCTCTATGCTTGTTTCCAATCTCACACGTCTCGGATACATTATTAAGAATAATTGTAACAAGCAAGCCAGAAAAATATTCTTTCTTGACAAATAACTTAATCCAACAAAGTGAGTGCCCAAAGCACATATGCCACAACCGATCAAAATTGGGAATAACAAAACTCAAGCAAGAAAACCATTCATGACAAATTTTCAAATGGAATAGATGATTGAGAGTCATTTTTACCTTAGCTATAAATCTTCCACTTTTGTTTATCAACGTGCAGTATCCATGATGAATTTGCATGTTGTAACCTTTCTCAGATAGTTGCCCCATACTCAACATATTGTGATGAAAACCTAGAGCATAGAAAACATTGGAGATAAAATTTTGCAAACCATCTTTCAATTTGATAGCAATTTGGCCTTTTTCCCAAAATAGGAATGTTTGTGTTTCCAAATTTCATAGTAGATTCAACTGTTTCGTTTAGAGAGGAAAATAACTCCTTTTTTCCACACATATGATTACTACATCCAACATCTAAATACCAAATATTTTCATCCTAAAAAAATGTATTGCTTGTCAAAAATGAACTTTGTGAATTATAAGAATTCTCACCAATGTTTTTATGATTTTCTACCACATTCACCTGTTGTTTAAATCTACAATCTGTAGCCTGTGTCCAAACTTTCCATAGTATAAGCAATTAAAATTTGCTCTTTGTTGGTAATTGTTACCTCTTCCTCTTGCATGATTGGCAACACCAAAAGTATTTCCTCCTCTTCCTTGGTTGAATGATACAAAATTATTATCTCATCCTTGATTGAAATTTCCACGTCATTTGCCTCTATAGTTTCCTTGGCCTCTTTCTCTGAAATTTCCTCTTCCTTCATTGATGTAATTATCACGACCTCTATTTTTTTGTGTTTGGACTAGTTTTAGCTACATTATTGATATTCACTTGATTTTTTAACGCTCCTTCGTTTACTTTTTCTATCTTCTCCAAGATTCTACTTGCATGACTTTTAATATTTCATTGCAATTTTGCTATAGTCATGGTGTTGGTATTGTGGGACTCAATTATTGTAGTCACCACATGATCAAACTTCATTGGCATCATTCCAAGAATTTTCTCTACCATTTTGCTATCAGGAATATCTTCTCCATGCACTCTCTTCTTATTGACAAGATCTATAACGTGAAAAATATTGTTCCACTGATTCAGAATTTGACATTTCACATCTTTTGTATTCCTTTCGTGGAGATTGTAGCTTGTATTTTTTAGCCTTCTCTACTCCTTATATGACAATTTCAAAATATTCCACATTTCTTTAACAATTTTGGCATTTGTAATTTTACCAAAAATAGAATAATCTACTCTTTGGTGAATTTGTGACAATGCTAATTGGTCTCTCCTCCTAGTAGTATCACCAGCTCCTTCTGCTAATCCTAGTTCAACAAAGCTCCAAATATGTATAGCCATCAAAGTCTCCCAATAGCTAAAATCTAACTTCCCATCTAGCTTGGGACCAAACCAAGTAATATTGTAATTGGTAGTCATATCTCTCTCTCAAAATATAACACTTCTCTATATTTTTTTTTTTTGACAAAGTGAGAATCCTGTTATTCCTCACCTACTCAAATGTTTTTTTCACTCATACTACCACCCAACTCTCAAGCTTTGATAACTAAATGTTATCAGTGGGATAACGATATAAACTTTTGCGTAATAGAATAAAATTGAGAGTGAAAGAGGAAGAGATCAAACTGAAATTCACTATTTGCTTTCCTACTCAAATTCATTTCAAACCATAGTACCTACAAAGCCTTTTGTTGGCAAAATTATATAATATAATATTATTATAAAATTCTAACTTAATACTTAAGAAACTACCTATCTTAATAAAACTACCTATCTTAATATTTAAAAAACTTTGAAAGGCTTAATACTTGAGAAACAACCTATCTTATAATACTTGAGAAATTTTAAAGCCTTCCACAAAGTCTGTTGGCTTGATGATGCTTCGATAAATATAATGAAAAAAAAAGTCAACAATTCCATCTTGATTTTATTTTTTTTTAATTTATTTTTTTTTGACATTATTGAATATTATTATCAATAAGATGTCAAAATTTTAAAATTTTTAACACAAATCTATATTAGAAATTTGAGTAATTTTTATCTTTTATATATATATATATATATATATGAGGAAGGTTCAAACGACACCAGTGTAACTTTTACTAAGTGTTACACCACTCAATAACTTTATATTAAATGTGAATTTTGTAAATTCAACCGTTATATTGAAAGTTCTTTACTCTTAGATCATATATACAAAATTTTATATTAATTTAAGATGATTTGATACTTCATTCTTATAAAACAAAATTGACTTAATATATTTATTTCAAAATATACTAAAATATGAACACTTTGATTACCTTCAAGTTGTTGTTTAATTTTAACAAAATTTGATATACACATATAAAGTGATATGAATTTTTAATCTAACGGTTGGATTTACAAAATTCACATTTAATTTAAAGTTATTGAATAGTGTAACACTTAGTAAAAGTTACACCGATGTCGTTTGAACTCTCCTCTATATATATATATATAATAGTGAAGGAAACGACAAAGATTAGACACTTAGTTATATCAAAAGTATATACACATGCTCTTATTTATTGGCAAATATTTCACATATAAGAGCGAGGCATACAGTGGTATCAGCTAGTAGGATATATCTATCACTTTAGGGTTTTATACATTGAGTAAACACACAAACATATATATACCTTCAGTATAATGATGTATATGCTGATATTAATTGGAATGGCTATTCAGTGGCGTTGGTAGCATTTTCATCTGTGATCTTCATATGCTCTAAGTAGGACTTTCCATCAAGCTTGCGAGAGAAAAAACCTTTAACATATTTTTCCATTTTCATCGTTTTATACAGAGGGGGATTTTCTTGATCAATGAAACTAGGTGCAGGTCCAATTTCAGATTGAAACTTGGGGCCAAAAAACATCGCAATGGAAATCCTTTCCTTCGTGGAATTCACTATTGCCCGGTGTTCGACACTTTTATATACCCCATTGCTCATAATCTGCAAATTCATGCATTATAGTATTGCTAAGTCAATAAGCATGCAAAATATATATCGGTTTTAGTGGATAGGATAGGATAGAATCTCATAAAAACATAATAAATTTTAATCCTATCTAATATATACAGGATAACAAATTAGATAATATTATTATATTGTATATTTTGTATTTAATATAAATTAATAAGATATAACATAAAATTATATTGAAAATATATATACCTTCAGTATAATGATGTATATGCTGATATTAATTGGAATGGCTATTCAGTGGCGTTGGTAGCATTTTCATCTGTGATCTTCATATGCTCTAAGTAGGACTTTCCATCAAGCTTGCGAGAGAAAAAACCTTTAACATATTTTTCCATTTTCATCGTTTTATACAGAGGGGGATTTTCTTGATCAATGAAACTAGGTGCAGGTCCAATTTCAGATTGAAACTTGGGGCCAAAAAACATCGCAATGGAAATCCTTTCCTTCGTGGAATTCACTATTGCCCGGTGTTCGACACTTTTATATACCCCATTGCTCATAATCTGCAAATTCATGCATTATAGTATTGCTAAGTCAATAAGCATGCAAAATATATATCGGTTTTAGTGGATAGGATAGGATAGAATCTCATAAAAACATAATAAATTTTAATCCTATCTAATATATACAGGATAACAAATTAGATAATATTATTATATTGTATATTTTGTATTTAATATAAATTAATAAGATATAACATAAAATTATATTGAAATAAAAAAATTTATTTTATAAAAAATACATATAATTTTAAAAAATAATTTGTAATTTAATTATTAAAAAAATTTAAATAAATATATATTTTAACTATATTGTATAATTTTTTTACTTATGTAGTTACTTCTCTTAAAATTGTACAATATTTTAAAAATTATAATTATTATTCAAATATTTTATTTAAAATATATTTATATATAAACATATTATTGGATATTTAATATTTTTTTTTTATTTTTAATAAGATAGTATACCATAAAATAATTTAATTTAATATATGGAGTAATGTATATAAAAAAGGATGAAAAAATTCCTTATCCTATCATGTTACTTCTTAACCAAACTCTCTCAAAAAGTAGAAAATAACCTATAGATCAACTAAATAAGATAAGAAATAGGATAATATTATCATATGTATTAGTAGAACAACAACGAATTATAACATGATAATTATCCTATTATATTCTATTATATCTACTCACCAAATAAACTTTAATCACTTTATTTTATTGATATTTTTTCCTGAATAAAAACGAAAATACATATCTAATTAATACAACAAGACAAGATACTAATAACACTTAGAACTGCCAATAAAAGTTTCTCTAAAAAAATATTGCATAAGCTTGGATCATAAACAGTTTAACCCATGAATAAAAATAAGGAAAAAATAAAATGAAATGAGTATCAACCCACTCTAAAACATTCGGTTATATATGGTAATTAATTAAGCCATGTTTCAAGTTTTTTAGTTCACAAATTAAGTCAAGATACTATTTAAGGTGAAATAATGACCCTTCTCCGATAGGCACAACATTAATTGATTATGAATATGATAATGACTCAATTTTTTTTTCTTTGTTGTTCTCAGGCTTTGATAATATCCACACATGTATTTTAAAATATCTTTCTTATCAGACGACCAAATTCAATTCAGTGCTTGTGAGTGACGGTTTTAGAGACGTACAAAATTAATTGTTCCAATATAAAATAAGTATAATATTTTAGATCATATAAGTATCAACTATCAACCCACCATATTATAAATATGAAGTGTTTACTAATTTTATGGATGACTGAATTTTGTTAAAGAATTTTGATTAATATATCATTTTTAGTATGAGATGTTTCTTCTTAATATCTCAATTTATAAAATTTAAATTTAAAATCTTATTGGAAGATTCAAACTAAGTCTTATTTAGCTCAACGAAATACATGTTGATGCAAATAATATCAAATTATTAGTTTTAAAATTATTTTACTCAATTTTAAACTTAATCAATCCTTAATTTGTATAACAGATTATTCATTTTTATAAATTTGAATCATATTACGTACATAAAATTATTAAAGTTAAAAATTAGTTAATCATTACATAATAATAAAAAATTATACATATTTAAGTATTAATTTTTATTACTTAAATATAATTCAATCATTTGATTTATTTTTCTTACGTTAGCAGAGAAAATGTCACGTACTACCATCTCTACATATAATCAAAATATTAATTTATTATTTAAACTTATGTTTTGAAGCATTATATTTACTATCTTGCTTGCGATTTAAGTCCATATCATTGTCCTACCATTCAATTTTAACATTAATTGCCACTCGTGAGAAAAAACAAAATTCCGAGCTTGTAAAATAGTTTTTTTTTTTAATTAAATATCATTTGATTTCCTAGACAAAGAAGGGTTTCTGTTATACGAGTACAAACAATTTAATTTCTTTTACATTGAACTTTTTACACCTATCTTGCACTCTTTTTTATTTCTTTGTTCTTTCTTATTACACCACACATCTTATTTATCTTTATATCTTTCCTTTCTGCACGTACACATTGGAAGTCAAAACCTCGTTTTTGTTTATATGCAATTTAAATGTCCTGTGCATGTCTAAATAAAAGATTAATGTAAGTACACAAGCTAGGTATTACATACGTTATTCAGTGCATCATAGACACTAGGTATTACTAGTGGCGGAACTTCAATAAAAACTTTGGGGGTGCCAAAT